TTATTTGAAAGAATATATTTATTATTTTTGTTTATTTATTTAAATGAACACATTCATTATATGTATATACTTATTTATTTATTCAAATAAACATATTTACTATTTCCATTTGCAACGGCTTCCAACATCAAAAGCCGCGTGGACAGACTTTCCGTGCTTTTCGCCATCACCTCAACCCAACAAAGTCCAAACCCTAAACCCTAAACCCTAAACCCTAAACCCTAAGCCCTAAACCCTAAGCCCTAAACCCTGCGCATTTATTTATTATTTGTTTATTCATTTAAATGAACGTATCTATTATCTATTATCTATTTATTTATTTATTCATTTAGATAAACATATTTATTATCTTTATTTATTTATTTATTTAAATGAACATCATTTTTGCACGAATACAAATTTGAACACTTTTCCGAATTTTTGCAGTTTTGCCTCCGCTGTGGGAACCGCCTTAGCTCTGAAGATATTTTTTATATATTCTCTTATAGCTTTATAAATATATATATGTACACATGTATGTATACAAATATTATATATATATAATATTTGTATACATACATGTGTTTATATATATATTTATATATATATATATATATATATATATGTATATTTATATACATAATTTGTAATACATACATATATACATGATTTATTAAATAAAGATATATATATATATACATAATCTGTATAATATATATATACACACACTATTTGTATATTTATATATATATATACATAATGTACATACATATATATATACATAGGTGTACAATATATATATAGACAATTTGTTATGTAATATATATACGAATATATATGTACATAATCTCTACATATATATGTATATACATACGTTCATAGTTTGTATATATATATATATATATACATATATATATATTCATATAATGTGTATATAATACATATTATATATATGTGTGAAAAATATGTATACATTCTACACATATTTACATATTGTGTTTATGTACATATAAATACAATATGTAAATGTGCATAATATTTATATATATATTTTATTACACATATAATATATATATAGGAATGTATATAAATATACATAGAAATGTATATAGATAAATGTATATATATATATAAATATACATATACAAATGTATATATATATATATACATTTAGATTTATGTATAAATTTATATATATATATATAATTGTATATATATATATACATGAATTAAGAAAGTCTTTTAAAAATATGAAAACTCTCTTTTCATGTTTTTCTGCTGCAGCTGCGTTTTGAGGCCTTTTGAGGTTTTTGGATTTATGTCGAAAAGACAATTACAATTATATTCTTTTTATTTTTTAAAACAAAACAATAACAATTATTTTCTTTCTTTATTTTTAAAGATAAGACAATTATAATTAATTTATATTTCTATTTTTGCAGATATTTATAATTAATTTCCTTCTATTTTTGAAGACACTTATAACTGATTTCTCTTGATTTTTGAAGACAATTATAATGAATTTCTTTTCCTATTTTTGAAGGCAATTACAATTAAATTTTTTTTATTTTTAAAGATAAGTAATTGTATTTAACTTCTTTTTCCTTTTAAAGACAATTGCAACTAGTTTTTTTTTCTTCTACGACAAGTAACTAGAGACAGACAATTAAAATTATTTTCTTTTTTACTTCTGAAGACAATTGCATTTAATTTCCTTTTTCTTTTTGGAGACAATTGTAATTAACTTCTTTTCTCTTTTTGGAGACAATTATAATTAATTTGTTTTTTATTTTTGAAGACCACTATAATTAATTTCTTTGTCTATTTTTGAAGACAATTGCAATCAATTTGTTTTTTACTTTTGGAAAAGAAAGAAATTAAAAGTTCCTCAAACGAAGTTAAATGCTTTTTCCTTCGGCGCAGTTCTCGCGCGGCCGAAATCTAAATAAACAAATAAACAAAAGTTAAATAATAAATAAAAGATTAATTAATTAATTGATTAATTCATTCATTCATTAATTCATTATAAATAAAATGCGCTTTTCCATTCACAAACAAGAAACAAACGAATTCGCTCCTTCTCCAAACCGCCCCCCGCATCTCAGCGAGGGTTTAGGGTTTAGGGTTTAGGGTTTAGGGTTTACAAGCGAACCGGACAAAAAATGGAACAAATCCGACAAGCTCCAGACTCCGTCATTGAGGGGCCCCCAAGGCCCTTAGGACTTCTTTACGGGGCCCCCAGGGGCCCCCAGAGCCACTTTGCAATCCAAAAAAGGGGCCCCCAGGGGCCCCCAGGGTTCCCCCACAATCCCCCACTGGGTACCTGGGGGCCCCCCCGGTCTTCACCAGCGCTGTAAATTGTGGGGTGTTAAAGGGCCCAAAAGGGCCTCGGGGGGCCCCCCAGGTCCTGGGGGGCCCCCCGAGGGGCCCCTGTTTTGTGGGGGCCCCTCATGAGCAGGGCCTCTTTGTGCGCCTGCTTCAGGCCTTAAGTCCAGAATGAAATATGTCTTGTTTGCACTTCCGATTTGATTTCAAGAAGATTGTTTTTTATTTAATTAATTAATTTAATTAATTTATTTCTTTCTTTTGTTTCTTTCGGGGCCCCTAATGCCTTTGTCTTTCTATTCTCTCCCCCATCACAAGGCCCCCCCTTTCTTCCCCAGTAACGACTTCCCAAGGAGGGAGGCCCCCCCCGGGGGGCCCCCCCGCCCTCAGGGGGCCCCCCCGGGGGGGGTCACCCCCTGGGGCCCCCTGCTGGGGGGCCCCCGGGGGCCCCTGGCGGGGCTGCGGCAAAACCACGAAGACGGTGCTGGTACCCCGGGAAGGCAGGGGCCCCCAAAGCCGCAACATAAAAGTTATATTTGTATTTAAATCTGAAATGGAAAGAATGAATTCTGGAGGGGCTGCAGGTTCCCTGAAAATGGGCTGTACAGACAGCGTAAATACCAGCTGCTCAAGCCACTGCTGCTCGTCAAAAGGAGGAAAGGGCCCCCAATGGGGGCCCCAGGGCACATCCCCCGCAAGGAGGCCCCTGGGGATGATCCGGGGGGGCCCCCGGGGGGGCCCCC